ATAAGGAATCAGTTCACACTTTCATTTAAGTTGACTTATTTTGTAGGTCTTACTTTGCTGAACATTTTTGCTTTTGAAGTTTCTCTCTATCTATCAAAGTTTCTGCGAAAAACTAAAAAAATTGTAAAAAATTCTATTTTTAGCCATGGCAGCCTTATTTGTTGACTGATTGGGGAAAAAAAAACACAAACTTTATACTAGATACCATAAGGATCATTCATCCCAAGTTTGGTTGAAATTTTTAAGTAGTTTCTGAGGAGAAGATCTTTGAAAAATTTTACGACGACAACAACGGCAGATGCCAATTGATGGCAATAGCTCACATTGCCCTTTGGGCCAGGTGAGCTAAATAGTATAAAACATGTTTACATCAGGAGAAAGCAAAAAAGAAATAAGAAATACAAACTAGAGGCTCTCAAGAGCCTGTGTTGGTCACCTGTATCTACTGTGGTTTTGGAAATCATGTAAAATAAGGTTAAAATCATAATAAATAGTATTAGATACCCCAATAATGATTGAGACCAAGTTTGGTTTAATTTGGCCCAGTAGTTAAATTAAAAGCAGGTCATCCCATTGTAGTCTTACAATAGTTACTGAAACCCCCTTATCATTATTTAAATTAGTTTTCAAGTTGTGACCATTTGAAATTGTTTTTTTACAATTTTCCCATAGATTTCTATAGTAAACCCCTATATTCTATTTTTAGCCATGGTGGCCATCTTGGTTGATGGGTGGGGTCATCGGATACATTTTTTAAATTAAGATACCCTAAGGTTGATTTAGGCTGAATTTGGTTTAATTTGACCAAGTAGTTTCAGAGGAGAAGATTTTTGTAAAAGATTTACGAAAAATTGTGAAAAATTGACTTTAAAGGCAATAACTCCTTATGCTGTCAATTGACAATTTTGGTCATGTTTGACTTATTTGTAGATCTTACTTTGCTAAACAATTTTGCTGTTTACAGTTTATCTCTATCTATTATAATATTCAAGATAATAACCAATAAAATGCTCCGCTGGGTGCAGCTTGATACGACCGCAGAGGTCGAACCCTGAACATTTGGGGCAAGTATGGACACAACATTCAAGCTTGATACAGCTCTGAATTTGGATTGTGATTAAATATTTGACACAGCATAGGTTTCTGACACAGAATGAATGTGGTCTAAGAACTTAAAATTTTTAATTTACCTATTATGGTCCAATATGCAAAATCTAAATACATACACGGTTAGGTTATCAAAGAACCCAAAGAATTCAATTTTTGTTAAAACCAAACCCTTTGGACCCTTTGGACCTTAATGTAGACCAATTTGAAAACGGGACCAAAAATTAAGAATCTAAATAACGGTTAGATTCATCATATCAAAGAACCCAAATATTTCAATTTTTGATGAAATCAAACCATACGTATCATTATTATTTGCTTTTATATATAAATCAAAAGTAACCAACTTAAAATGGAAAATTTTAAAGAAAAAAAAAAAAGAAAATTAAGGAAAAAAAAATCCCCCCCCCCCAATTTTTTGAACCCCCTTATGATTCATCACCCCCAAACTCAATCCCAGTCTTCCCTTTGTGGTATGATACCTTGCAGTACAATGTAAGAGAGATCCATACACTTGAACACAAGTAATTGTCTGGAAACTAGAAAAATGCTTGTTTTTTGGCCCCTTTTTGGCCCCAAATTCCTAAACGTTTAGGGCAATAACCCCCAAACTCAAATCCAGCTTTTCCTTTGTGATATGGAACCTTGTAGTACAATTTCATAAAGATCCATACACTTACACACAAGTTATTGTCCTGAAACTAGAAAAATGCGTTTTTGGCCCTTAATTCCTAAAATTTTGAGGCAATTACCCCCAAAATCAATCCCAGCCTTCTCTTTGTGGTATGGTACTTTGCAGTACAATTTCAGATAGATCCATACACTTGAACACAAGTTCTTGTCTGGAAACTAGAAAAATGCTTATTTTTGGCCCCTTATTTCTAAACGTTATGGGCAATTACCCCCAAACTCAATTCCAGCTTTCCCTTTGTGATATGGAAGCTTGTAGTACAATTTTAGAAAGATCCATACACTTACACACAAGTTATTGTCATGAAACTAGAAAAATGCTTGTTTTTTGGCCCCCAATTCCTAAAATTTTGAGGCAATTACCCCCAAAATCAATCCCAGCATTCCCTTTGTGATATGGAACCTTGTGGTACAATATCAGAGAGATCCATACACTAACACACAAGTTATTGTCTGGATGTTACAAAAATGCTTCTTTTTGGCCCCTAATTCCTTAACTGTTGGTACCATAACCCCCAAAATCAATCCCAACCTTCCTTTTGTGGTATTGAACCTTATGGTAAAATTTCATAGAGATCCATTCACTTAAACTAAAGTTATTGTGCGAAAACCCATGTGTCTTCGGACGACGACAACGTCATACCTATATACAACGGTCATATAAAAACTGCAAAATTTCCTTAAAATTACCAATTGACTGGCAGCAACCTAACAACGGGTTGTCTGATGTGTCTGAATATTTCAGGGCAGATAGATCTTGACCTGATGAATATTTCAAACCCATGTCAGATTTGCTCTAAATGCTTTTGTTTCCGAGATATAAGCCAAAAACTGCATTTTACCCCCATTTTCTATTTTTAGCCATGGCGGCCATCTTGGTTGATGCAGGGGGTCATCGGATATATATTTTTTAAACTAGATTATACCCTTAAGATGATTTAGGCCAAGTTTGGTTTTATTTGGCCCAGTAGTTTCAGAGGAGAACATTTTTCTAAAAGTTAATGGACAACGACGGACGCCAAGTGATGAGAAAACTCACTTGGCCCTTTTGGGCCAGGTGAACTAAAAATAAACAATTATGCTCCAGACAATTCTGCATTTTTCAACAGATGGTTTGTTAAAATTCAACCATAAATGCTTTCAAAATATTTTTTTTTTGTCATAAGTTTTGTAAATCATCTTGTTAGTTTGTTCATTGTTATTAAGTTTAAGTGTACTTATAAAATACAATTAAGATTGACATCTGTGATGATTAATAACAAAGATGGAGTTTTAATTTGATACTTCTCCTCTTCCATGTCAAGTTTACTTATTTGTAGATCTTATTGTTCTGGTCATTTTTACTCTTTAAAATTTTCTTCTATCTGTTAAACCAAGATATTAACCAATAAACTGCTTCGCTGAGCGCAGCTGGATACACCCACAGAAGTCCAACCCTGAACAGTTGGGGCAAAAATGGACACAATATTCAAGCTTGATACAGGCCTGAATTTGGATTGTAATTAAATATTTGACATATTATAGGTTTCTGAATAAATGTAGTCAAAGAACTTGAAATTGGTTATATGAATTGAATTTATATTCAATTAATGATTTCTTGCTGTTGTGCAATACACTATGCTGTTGCGCAATACTTAGTAAATCTGTTGTCAGACTATAAACAAATAAAATTTATAAAATTCTAAAGGATGTTTACATCAATAGATATAAACAATTCACCAAACTTTCATTTGAATTGCTGAAAGCATTTTTGAGTTATTGTCTGAAAACTGGAAAATCCCCCCTTTTTTAATGAATAAAACTCCATAACTCGGAAATGTAAAATCTAAAATGTATAAAATTCTGAAGGGAGCTTACATCAATAGATATCAACAATTCATTAAAGTTTCATGAGAACTGCTGAAAGCATTTTTGAGTTATTGTCCGAAAACTGGAAAATCCCCCTTTTTTTTATGAATAAAACCCTGTTACTTGGAAAAGTAAAATCTAAAATTTATAAAAATCAAAATGGAGCTCATGTCAATAGATATAAACAATTAACCAAAATTTCTTGCAAGTTGGTGAAAGCATTCTTGAGTTATTGTCCGAAAACTGGAAAATCCACCTTTTTTTAATGAATAAAACCCCATTACTCGGAAACGTCAAATCTAAATTTATAAAAAACGAAAGGGTGCTCACGTCAATAGATATAAACAATTCACCAAAGTTTTATGCAAATTGGTTAAATCGTTTTTGAGTTAATGTCCGACATGTTGACGACAGACGGACAATGGTATACCATAATACGTCCCGTAAATGGACGTATAAAAACTGTGAAATTTCCAAAAACTTAACATTTCATTGGCAATAACTGCAAAATCAGTTGTCCAAATTTTCTGAAAATCTGCAAAAGATAGACCTTATAAACTCGGTCACATTTGCTCTAACTGTTAGCCTTTTTGATCAGGTAAGCTAATAAGAGAATCATATTCTTCAATCTTAATTGACCAAACTTTTTATTACAAAATTTACTGTAACAACAGCTCTGATCTACATGTAGTTACAGTAAAATATCAATGATATTACTTACTCTATGTCAATAAACAGCTGCATATAAGATCATTTAACATAGTCTGACCTGGTACAGGCACAAAATGTGGTGAGGCAAAACCAGTTTTACATGTGCACAAACCTCTCCCTTTACTTATCTAGACTATATGTCATAATAGTAAAACACACTGTAATTAAATCTGCAGAGTCATACTAGGAAGGCAGACAGATAAATTATTTATTTTTGAAAATATTTTACATAAGACTATATATGGATTTTTTTTCAAACATTCAAGGTGCTTAACCAAAAATGTCTAGACATAAGCAGTGCTCAACCAAAAGAATTCCATCAAATGTGTAAGGGAAGGCATATAAATAAATTGTAGGTAGTGAGGCAGGAAACAGGACTATAATTTTGGGGCCTAAGAAAACATAAGAATTTGGTTTACAGGAAGTTCATAAGTGATGAATGTGAAAACATATCACGTAGCATGCGCATAAGCATTCTCACATGAAGCTTACTACCAAATTTCATGAAGCTCTGATTTGCAATTCCTGAGAAAATTGTGACAAAAATTTCTTAGGAAAGACATGGGTACATTTGTAACACTCTAGACCAAGACAAAATAGTTGTGGGGGTATGCAAAGTATTTTGTAATCATACAAGAAACCACTTCATTGTTTATTTTTTATTTGTTAATTCAATGAAACTCATACAAATTATAGCCTACCATGCTAACTTTGTTTTTTTCAGAAATCAACATAATTTTTTTATCATGAACTTAACAAAACAATATATGTAATAAAAACAAAAGTTGTTGAATGTATAAAAATATTAATTTGTGTGAAATCTTATCAGTTTGTACTATTAAATAAAAAAATATCTAAAGTAGCTCTGTTTCGGGAAATGAAATCAATAATACAAAAATTGAATGTCACTTTTGTCAGATTTACTGATGAAATGGTTCATCTGCCAATAAATATGTTAATGACAAACTTATGAATAAGGTGTGAATAAACATCAGTGAGAAGGCAGCCTAATAAAACAAGCAATCATCTGACAAATCACCTAGAAACTTTAAATTAGTTTAGGACATAATCAAAATTATTAGTTTCGTAAGAAGACAGTTTTAGTGTAATATATAGAAGGAAGTATTCATTAAAAAACTAGGGTAAAGATTGAAATACACACCTAGGAAGTTCTAAAAAATGTAAGTCCTTTGGCAAAACTCATTTGAAAGGAGGAACTGTGAATCTATCAAATCATAAAGATTTTACACATTATTTTCTATGCTTTGTTTTTACAAAACTTCAATATGAAATAATAAATGCAAAGGACCTTTTAGACTCCCAACCAACTTATCTTTCGCAGGCAATTTACTTTCAGGAGTAGAAAATAAAAATTGTCAGGAATATGTAAGAAAATCGCAGAAATAAATCCCTGTGAAGTCTGCTAGCAGGGGTCAAACGCTTTCAAAAATAAGTTGGTTTATAATATATATAATACTTTCACTTCATGATTGCTATTTAGTTGGTAAAAAAGCTTATTTCTCTGTAATTTATTTAAGTACTTTTAAAAATTAATGATTTTTATTATTTATTCAACACATGAAGTTTTCATATTACATATTGGTAATTTGAACAATGAAAAAGTTTCTATTCTGTTAACAAGTTAGGCAGACAATACAGGTAGATGCTGATTTGTATTGAGGTAAAATAGAAAAAAATCAACTTATCTAAAAAAAATAATGAAGGTGAAAAAATAAGAACTGAATTATAATTGTGGAATTCATATGACTTTTGAATGAAATACAAACAAACTAATTTATGTACAACACAACTCTATGTTACTCTATTACCATTGAAGAAAAATGATACATAAATTCAACTATCACAAGGAGTTAATTAAATCTGATGTTAGCATATGATAACACAGAGGTCAGAGGTCATAAGGCAAGTGTCTGACCTGGTCTGCTACTATAACTTTGTTTATTTTTTATACATTTTTGTATATGGCTGATAACTAAAAATAGTTAATTGGCAGCATTAACAGGATTTGACTTTGCACCAGGATAATATTCAATCTGGTCTAACAACCTATCATGACCTTGCTTGACCATCAAATATAAAAATAAGCAGATGCATATGTAATATAGATGCTGAGAAATATGCAATAAAAAAGATCAATGGTCCTACTGATAAAAAGGAACATTCATACATGTCATATGGTCTACAATTGTCATTAACTGAAAAATAAATAAGATTGTTTGACTTGAAATCAAATATAAAACAAGCTTTTCATTCCTTTTTCACAATAAAATGTGGTCACTATATTACCAAAAAATATCAATACCAAGTAACTACTTAGCTAATAAATGAGATAATTAAGAACAAAACAAATACAACATAATTAGTAAATGTGATTGAAAATGCATTTGCATGCTCATATTATTAAAACTGCTTTAATACAAATTCTATCATTTTTGTTTGAATGAATTACAATGTACACAGACAGCAGGGTTTTTTTTCTGTTACATTTTTTCATTTCAATGCAACAAATGATAAAATATTAATGGAAAGAATTAAAATTGAGTTTACAATTTGTAACTTTAAAATGACAATATATAAAAGGTTATTTTATAACCATTGGGTAGCATGCTGCATTAAAGTTATGTAAAAAACACTTATTAAATTAACTTAACAAAATCCAAATGAAATGTTTCCACACTAAGTATTATTTACAGAGATTGTTTTTAACACAGCTACGTTGTAGTAGATGGTTCACATTTGATTGATTGTTCGCCTACTGGAGGTTCTATAGCATTTAATGCCTTTGTAGCCACATCAACTTTTGCCTTCTTTTTTGAACTACCACATCCCTCATACTTAAGACCATCCACAACTACACTCATTACGAACACAGGGGCATGCACTGGGCCTGTCTGAGATTCCACTGCATATTCCAGTCCTGAACGTAACTCATGCAGTCTCATCACTGGATTTTTTGGACCTTCGGCTTCCTTATTCTTTTTCTTCTTTTTACTTCCTGGTTCTGCAGCTTCAGTGGTCTCTTCCACTGGTCTCTTTCCTAGCACCATACCCTCTGGTACAAATGAAGACATGCTAGCATCTGAAAAACAAAAGCTTAGTCAATATTAAATATCTATAGCATTAATGTTTGTTTGAATGTAGGACAGAAAGATTTGTATATCAGTAGATAAGGATATTATTTGGTACTTAAATGAAGTATGATTTTTAATTGTATTAATAGTACCTGTGTTGTTTGTTAGGTACAACTCCCTTTAATATTATATATAGTTACATGTTTTTTTTAGCTGATTTTTAAAGGGAGATGTGTGAGTGCTTAAAAACTAGTGTATCCATGTCACATGTGTACATGTGTTTGTTCCTGGTCAGGAACCTCATCAGAGATTATTTCATAATAATTTTTGTAATTTTGTCAGAAATTTGTCTAGCTTGAAAGATTCCAGTTTGAGCTAATTAAATTCAACTATAGCAAAACATGTTTTTCTTCTGAAGATTGGGTTTTTCTAATGAAATAGACATGGCTTAACACAGATTGTGAAGACGGCCAAAACTGAACTGTGACTTAAATTTGAAATTGAATGTAAACATTCACATGAGACAGGGATTTAGCCAAATTATTGATTTCAGGAGGTCCTGAAATATTCGAATTCAAGTTATCCATTAATCATTGACATAATTGAGAACCTTCTGAAATATTTCAGGACCTCCATAATTCGAATTCGGGATATTCTGAACTATTTCAGGACCTCCATAATTCGATTTCAGGACCTCCACAAATAATCTGTCAAAATTGCATTATTTCAGGAGGTCCTTAATATTGACAGAGCTCCATAATTATATATTTCAGGACCTCTACAATTCAATTTCTGGATATCCTTAAATCAAACTGTGGAGGTCCTAAAATAATTGTGTACCTCCATCAACATTTGAGGATATATAGAAATTGAACTGTGCCGGTCCTGTTAGAAATATAAAATTATGAAGCTCCTGAAATAAAGCAATTTTTAATGATTATTCACGGAGGTCCTGAAATCGAATTATTATCAGGGAATAAGACTTACATTTTCCAATTAGGGGCCCAACCTATCACTATGTGAAAATTAACAAAAGAACTAAGGGCATTTTAATAAAAATTTTAGGGGCCCAACCCAAATTTTAGTAGCATTGGCTACTGGGCCCCTGTTAACCTTTTTCCCTGATTATTATTATTGATCACTGTTTCCTGACTCAGGACCATTCCTAAATTGTCATGCCTATCCTAACATCTTATATGAACATTTTTAGTTAAACTTAAAGACTATTTAAGTCCAGACATTTTTGGTTTAGTATTGTTCAGAACATTTGTCTATTTAGTCTATGTAAAATATTTTTCAAAACAATAGTTTATTTTACCTACCAATTCCTACCTACCCTTGCATGTCTGTCAGGACATAGAAGAAAAAAGTAAAATATTTTTGGCATAAATTCCTGGCTAGGGACTTTCAAGGTGTTTAATATTGTACTCAACTCTCCCTATTTTATCAAATAATACCTATGTTAATCTTTCTTTAACCTTTGATGCAATCACCAAAAGACATACCTGGAATATACAGGATGTTGAAAAGTTTCAGCAGAGCATATTTAGCAGCTTCCTCCTTAGCAATCTTTTTGCTCTGACCAATTCCTTGGAATTTTTCATTTTTACACATCAGTAGCATAGTGTAGACTCTACGTTTCTTGTTGCTTGGGCCAGTTTCCTTGTCTTCTGAAACTAATTCAAATTTACTTTCTTGGGTGAGTTCATTTAGATGCATGACAGGATGTTTATTGGATATCATTGGAGCAGGTCCAGTTGGCATAACCATGACTGAAGTTTTCACAGACTGTTTTGCTTCACTATTTCCATTGCTCGCACTTGGAGTGCTTTCCATTTTTACATCACCTTCCCCGTCCATTGTTGATTGCAGCAAAAAATCAGTTGGTCCTGACTACACAACCACTGAAAGATTCAAAGAAATGTCAGCACTGTATGACAGCCAATCTGAGCCCAAAATAAAAGGTACATGTACTTGTGTTTAGGGTTTCCCTACATAACCTTTTTTTGTATGCCTCAAAATGCCTACCCTCAAGTTTTTATTGATACTTAAAAAAATCGAGTTTCCCCCCCTTTTTTGCCACTTTTCACAGCATACTCCTTAAATTGATGTTTCTTTGTAAAAAGATTAAATTTAAGGCATATTAAATGCAAAGATAAATAAGAATATTACTTAAATGATTATAATTTTCTTAGGACAATGAAAAAATTAATCTTTTGAAAATTATTTTGTTCATCTCTATAAATAATTTATCATGTGAACATGTGTTGGAAACTGGTATTTGATTTAAAATATAAAAAAATCATAAGGGGTTCCGCTGCTGTCAGTGTAAAAGTGTAATGTGGACTTAAAAAGTGGGTCCATTTATCAGTAAAATACAGAATTGTAAAAATTTTCAAAATTTTTCTTTAAATGCTACTTGTATGTATTGCATGGTCTTGAAGATTAGCTTCTGTCTACGTTTCATAACAATCCATGAAGGTTTACAAATTCTGTATACTCAATAACATTTAAATATAATGTATACAAGCTGAAGCCCCACGTATCTATTGATTGCAGATGTCGATCTTAATTACGATGCTTGAGCAAACATTTATACAAACAAAGCAAGCAAGCCAACCAAACCTTTAAACTACAAGCATTAGGAAAATAGCTCTAAATGTAAAACAAGAGTGCACATGCTGAAATGTCTCGCCTTCTTTACTAGCCATTGATATTATGTTGATAGTCCTAAATATAAAGCTTTACTACAACTATTACATAAACTTAACATGATCCAAGAAAATGAGGTCAAGGTCATATAAACCAAATGAGAAATACATGTACACCTTACAACCATTCAATACAATAAATATAGTTGACCTATTGCTTATAGTTTCTAAGACTTAACCAAGACAAGAGTGCACACGCTGAAATGTCTCGCCTTCTTTACTAATCATTGATATTTTGTTGATAGTCCTAAATATAAAGCTTTATTACAACTGTCACATAAACTTAACATTAACCAAGTAAACTAAACATTGACCAATGAACCATGAAAATGAGGTCAAGGTCAGATGAACCATGCTAGGCAGGCATTTACAGCTAACAATTCTTCCATACAACAAATATAGTTGACCTATTGCTTATAGTTTAAGAAAAACAGACCAAAACGCAAAAACTTAACACTGAGCAATGAACCTTGAAAATGAGGTCAAGGTCAAATAAAACCTGCGTGACTGACATATAGATCATAAAATATTTCCATACACCAAATATAGTTGAACTATTGCATATACTATTAGAAAAAAAGACCCAAAACTCAAAAACTTAACTTTGACCACTGAACCATGAAAATGAGGTCAAGGCCAGATGACACCTGCCAGCTAGACATGTACACCTTACAATCATTCCATACACCAAATATAGTAGACATTTTGCATACAGTATAAGAAAAACAGACCAAAACACAAAAAACTTAACTATAACCACTGAACCATGAACATGAGGTCAAGGTCAGATGACACCTGCCAGTTGGACATGTACACTTACAATCCTTCCATACACCAAATATACGAGACCTATTACTTATAGAATCTGAGATATGGACTTGACCACCAAAACTTAACCTTGTTCACTGATCCATGAAATGAGGTCGAGGTCAAGTGAAAACTATCTGACAGGCATGAGGACCTTGCAAGGTACGCACATACCAAATATAGTTATCCTATTACTCATAATAAGAGAGAAATTAACATTACAAAAAATCTTAACCTTTTTTTCAAGTAGTCACTGAACCATGAAAATGAGGTCAAGGACATTGGACATGTGACTGACGGAAACTTCATAACATGAGGCATCCATATACAAAGTATGAAGCATCCAGATCTTCCACCTTCTAAAATATAAAGCTTTTAAGAAGTTAGCTAACGCCGCCGCTGCCGCATCACTATCCCTATGTTGAGCTTTCTGCGACAAAAGTCACAGGATCGACAAAAACTAAGTCCATTTATCATTATAATACGGGAAAATGAAAATAAGTATTTTATTTTCAAAATTTTGCTCTGGATACTGTATTTTGGTCATAAGCAAGCTTCAGTTCAAATTTCCTAAAATTCCATGAAGGTTTGACAAAGTTATTGATGCCTAAAAAAACTTTAACCACAGACTGAACCTTAATGTTGACACTGCCGATGCATGAATCTAGGATCGCTACATGTATGTCTCGCTTTTCTGACATAAATGTTGCATGCTAGACAAAAATGTCCCCTAAATGCTTAAATTCAGCTGAAAAAGTTTGTGCCGGTTTAAGTGAAAACGGTTTTGACCTGAGATTTTCTTCTTCAATGCAGGTCATGACCTGCATTTTTATTTTCAGAGTTTGACAGGTATGCACATATGATGCATGCTTGTGAGCACTCAACCCTCCCCTAACCTGGGACATTGGTGTTACAGCACAACATAAGAACACACTGTAAATATCCCTTGCAAATGGTTAATATATGGGCAAGAATTCGCTAATGAAATTTTAGGGTCAATAGTGTTTACCCAATAAAAAATTAAGAGAACATGCAAATATGGAGAATAAACAATGTTTAAATATCAAAGTGTGTTAATCTTTATTGCCACATGCAAAAAAAAAAAGGATCAAATTAAAAAAATCAACAAGAAATTAGCACTTGTTATGTTCCGCCAGTGGAAAACTGTAGGCAAAAAGTGTGACATTTCTGCAGTGGCAAAACCCCAAGTCATATTCAGAATATGCCTCAAGAATTGTTCTACTGTAATAGTTGAAAATCAACTGCAAAATGATCGGTCTATTGATTAAAAACCCCATTTTGTACATAATCCGATTATTGCTGCAAATAAAATATGTTTGAAAATGGACAAGTGCATGTAACTTTTCGCTTCAACAAATGTTACATGTATGCACCTTTTCATCAGCTAATAAGCTTTGGAAACATGTTATCGATCCAGCATTGCAAGTTTTCAAAGGTGTGAACAATGGGTTCAATTTGGATTTCATCATTTTCATCCATCAACTGAAGTTTGAAAAATATATCAGGTAAGAAAGTTTATTTCATTTTCGTGTCAATACTGCCCAATAATACTCATCTTTTTAAAACAGTTGTATATTTTTTATAGTAAGCATTACCATAATGATTTTTTCCACATTTCAACCCGCTGACAATTACATTAAAAGGTGGCTTTGTCATCTTTCCCACTTGGCATCTACCAGTGATCAAACAGATGATAAGAGAGGGGGATCAGGTTACCGGTAATTTGACCTCACAATGAAGTGTTACATGCACTTTCTGAGTAAATTAGGTTCTTTGATAATGATGTGTGACTTGCTTTGCAATTTTTTCAAGAAATATAAGTCTATCTTGTATTTAAACGGGTTTGACCCTTACGATATTCATTTTATTGCTGGAGAGATTTCTGTACATAACATTGACACGAAAATATTTACCAAGGAAAGGTTTCTATGATACATGCAAGAGCTTTTTTTTGTACGGTTTGCCTTATCAACCTAATTTTTTACATGAAATACCACAGATTAATTGCCAATTTGATTAACTAGTACTTGTATTCTTTCTCAGCATCATAAAGACAACTGGCCACTTAATTTGAAAACAAAAAACGTTACATTGACACAAGAATAAAAACAATATTACTTTATTACACTTAATGCATAATTGGCCAGTGCATAATATTAAAACAAATAAAAATACATGCTGAGTTCTTTACGGAGAATTTGTTGATCTTTCTTGATTTCTAGACTTACAATATTTACTTGTAATTCTTATCATTTAAAGGCATGTAACATTGACACATCTTCTGCGTCCAGGTTACATCGCTATAACCTAATAAATGTGCATACAATTATTCAATCAATAAAATCTTTTGCTTCATAAAAATGATATTAAAGAAATAAATGAGTTTTAATTATTTGTGTTTATTTTTTTCTCATCATTTGTTGGTGTTCCTGTCAATGTTACATGCATAAACCAGAATTATAATGTTTTAAAAGCATTGATTTCGAAACCTCTGATATGAGCTTTATATTGAATTTATCTGAGTTTATAAATGACTAACATCTGAAATATTGTCATCACACAATTTCTTCTTTGATTCTTATATGATAACTTTATAAGTAACATGGACAGCAATTTTTCGTGTCAGGTCTTTTTTTGTGCTACATGAGAAGATTTTACTGTGTCGAAATCAACAGTTAATCTAATATTTAATATTCAAAGTTATTATTTTGATACTTATTTTAAAAAATAATGTATAAAGTAAACCCAAGGTTTACCATTAAACTTTTTTTCATTAAGAAATTGTGTATGTAACATTGACAGAGCTATTAAATTAGACTTTTACATGTTCTGGCCAGTGTTACATGCATAAACAAATCTTACAGCCATATGAAGCTATTATTTTATTTCTATTTTACACAATTAAAGTGTTTGAATGTTTTCATGTTTAATTTGTCTTTTAACATTTGTTAGTAACATTGACAACAATATTTTGCATGTTTTGTGTCAAGATTTTTTTATGTTACATGCAAAGGTATTACTTCGTTAAAGTCAGACTTTTATATGACATTTTATAACCTAAGTGATTAATTAGATATTACTGGATAGCAATTATATTATTTACTCCTAAGTTGACTAGTAAGCACACTACTTTCATCTTATGGTCTTTGTATGTAACATTGACATACAACCTTTTACTTTTCTCTCAATGTTACCCGCATGAACAGAACTGATAATATTTACTAACTCCTTTGCTACATAAAGATATTATTGATAATTTAACTTGTTTTACCCCCATCAAACTTCATCTTTATTTCTAAATATAGATATTCTTTTAAGAAGTGTGTTTTCTTCATTGACAACAATTGGTGTCAGTCTAGAAATTT